TTTTTTTTTGTAGTGTCTATATAAACAAGTTTAATACATCAAACCATGTATAGGAAACAAATTCTGAATCGGAAATATATATCGAACCATTGAATATGATTGAGTTAAAATTTCAATACTTTGGTTTTTCTAAATCTTTAACAATACAATACTGATGGTATATTTTTGTATGTTTTGTTTGATTTAGAGATCAAATACGTTTTCCACATTTATTATTTTTTTTCCTTTAGAAAAAACTGTTATTGGGTGATTATTATAAAGTTAACACAACATAGAAAAAATATTAGACATTAACATAATGGAAGTTAAATGTAAAACTTCCAATATATACTACTAAGGGCCAATACATTCACACTCATACTAGACAATGGATAGATACTTCACGGGAGTTGAAACATAGTCTGGTGATCGCTGACGACTCGGTGATGATTTTCACGATAAAATTCGCCGAACCCTCCAGTTTCGAGGATGAAATCGTCGATCGCATAATCGAGTAAAGCGAAATCAATTGAATTAATATCGGCTAAAAGGTGAGAGATCGGATCCTGGTCGAGTGATTTAGGCCGAGTCGACAGTGTCGTCATGATCTCCCGTTCTTCTCCGTGTTCTTCCGTAGAAAGAGTTGTTTCCTCTGTTTGATCTAAATCTATGTCATTCTTTCCTTTATCCATATTCTTCTCTGCAACCTTCTTCTTATAAATCCTGCACAAAACCCACTTATCCAACCACAAGCCCAACCAAAAAAATAAATAAATAAAAATCAGCAACCTTATATTATAACCAAAATCATAAATTCAAACTATCTTCTTGGTTATCACCAGCATCATAGATTCTTGTTTTCTGGGATCATATTGTCGACGGAGCTTGTGCAAGCAATACTCGTGCATGTGCCAACCGGTTTTGGCCCCATCTTTGTACAAGGCGAGGGGTTTCTTGTAGCCCAAGGTACTCCGCCCTTTCTTTATAGTTGTGCCCATTCCACTCGTTTTCCAATAACCAGAACCCGATTTCCGGCTAAAATAATATAAAATAGGATCTAACCAGGTAATTGCCAGGGGTCGCATTTGCAGATATCGAACTCCGGGATGATGGGAACATAGGAGGATTTAGACAAGACCTTTTTACGTAGATAGTGAACGATTAGTTCTTCGTCGGTCGGGTGAAACCTGAATCCCGGAAGAAGCTTGCTCATGTCATTTTCCGACATCTTTTCAATTAGTGGAGATACTAAGATTTTTTTTTTTATGCTTTTGGTTTTTATGATTTTTTTTTTGTTCGAAAGGAGAGATAGATGGGCTTTTTATGATTGAGGTTTGTCGTCGTTTAGTGTGTTGAGTCACATGTTTTCTTCGTCGTTTACTATGTAATCATTTCTCTATCCAATTATTTTCATGTCATATTTGTTTTTATAGAACAATAATAATATAATTTAATGATCAGCAGACCGAGACTTCCTAAAATGTTTGTAAAAAGCCATGAGAATTATACACAATTAAAGGATAAAATTGGAAAAACTGATGATAAACTTAACCATATTTTACTATTCACAACATTTTTACAAGTTTATACATTTCAAATAAAATATCGCGTAAACTTTATAGTTTGGTTTTATTCGACTTAGTATGAAATAAATAAATATTAATATTTTATATTTGAATAAATAATATCGATTTTTTTAAAATCTCAATTTTGGTGGAATCATTCAGAAACAATAAACTATCATTTCAAGTGCAGTGGATTCGGCAATAGATCACATCATGTCTATCCATGCGAATAAAAATTCAGTATTTAAAAAAAA